TCCTGTTCTGTGGTAATGTGCCTAGAACTCACTTGGACATCCTCGATGAAGTGCCCGTCATCGTACTCAAAAAGTACGCAAATGAACTAGAACCAGTATTCTGCAGATTTTTCAACCTGTCTTACAAGAAAGGTGTTTTTCTTCCATGTTGGAAGTTTAACAAAAAGGACAAGAAAAATCTTCCAAATAACTATAGACCAGTCGCTTTGCTATCAGTGATATCAAAAATCATGGAGAAAGTCGTAAACCACCATATCCTCAAATATTTGGAAGGCTCCAACATCTTGAGCGATCATCAATATGGCTTTCGGAAACAAAAATCAACAGACGATCTTTTATCGTATATCACCCATATTTGCAATAACGCCTTTGACCGTGTGTGGCATGAGGGTTCGCTGGCGAAACTTCGATGCTATGGCTTGTCAGATCATTTTTGTGTATGGCTCTTCAGCCTCCTGAAAAAACGTTTCCTGCAAGTGGCCGTCGATGGATATCTTTCGAATACTTTCACCATCAACGCTGGTGTTTCCCAGGGATCCATAATGTCTCCAGGCCTTTTTTTATTGTATATCAACGACTTATTAGAAAAAAACCAAGAATCCAATATATTGCTTTGGTGACGACAGCATACTTGTCTCATCATTCCATTTGGATTCCAGGACATCGGCTATGGAGGCACATCTTCACCGGCAGCAAGAGGTTGCATATTTCAATGAGGATCTAGAAGTTATATCGAATTGGTGTGAAAGTAACCAGGTTCAATTCAATTCAAAAAAACCTCAGGCATCGGTTTTGTCCGAGAAGTTAAATGTCTCCGAACCGAATATAATAATGTTAGGTCAGATAATTCCACGTTCTGCTTTGATAAGTTTGTCAGGGGTTAAAATGGACACCAACATGTCTAGCACAATCGTGTCGCTGGAATTCCAAAGGCTGCTTCTCAAAAGCGTGGAACACTGTTATGAACCAGAAAACTGTACATACAATTCATCATACAATTCCGCTTTTTGCTTCGATAAGTTTGTTAGGGGTTAAAATGGACTCTAATATGTCTTGAAAGAAAAATCTTCCAAATAACTATAGACCAGTCGCTTTGCTATCAGTGATATCAAAAATCATGGAGAAAGTCGTAAACCACCATATCCTCAAATAATTGGAAGGCTCCAACATCTTGAGCGATCATCAGCGATCGGAAACAAAAAACAACAGACGACCTTCTATCGTATGTCACCCATATTTGTAATAACGCCTATGACCGTGTGTGGCATGAGGGTTTGCTGGCGAAACTTCGATGCTATGGCTTGTCAGATCATTTTTGTGTATGGCTCTTCAGCCTCCTGAAAAAACGTTTCTCGCAAGTGGCCGTCGATGGATATCTTTCGAATACTTTCACCATCAACGCTGGTGTTTCCCAGGGATCCATAATGTTTCCAAGCCTCTTTTTATTGTATATCAACGACTTATTGGAAAACTACCGAGAATCCAATATATTGCTTTGGTGACGACAGCATACTTGTCTCATCATTCCATTTGGATTCCAGGACATCGGCTACGGAGGCACATCTTCACCGGCAGCAAGAGGTTGCATATCTTAATGAGGATCTAGAAGTGATTTCGAATTGGTGTGAAAGTAACCAGGTTCAAATCAATTCATCGGTTTTGTCCGAGAAGTTAAATGTCTTCGAACCGAATATAATAATGTTAGGTCAGATAATTCCACGTTTATCACGTTCAGGGGTTAAAATGGATACCAACATGTCTAGCACAATCGTGTCGCTGGAATTCCAAAGGCTGCTTCTCAAAAGCGTGGAACACTGTTATGAACCAGAAAACTGTACATACAATTCATCATACAATTCCGCTTTTTGCTTCGATAAGTTTGTTAGGGGTTAAAATGGACTCTAATATGTCTTGGCACAACCATGTCGCAGGAATTGGAAAGGCATATTCTGCAAAGCTTGGAACACTGTTAAGAACCAGAAAACTGTACACACCTCAGCAACTTTTGATGCTTTATAAAGCTCAGATCGGACTTTTTTGGAGTATTGTTTTCATAAATGGAGCTCTGTCCCCAAACATACCCCGAAGTTGATGGGTTACATCCAGAAAAGAGCCACCCGCCTGATTGGAGACGCGAACATCACGTGCAACTTCGATAGTCTGGAACATCGAAGGAAAGTTGGAGATTTGTCTCTCATCTGTAGATACCTTCACGGAAGGTGTTCAAGTGACTTGGCACATTTTATTCCGCGTAGAACGGTACATACCAGAAATACGCGACGGACTGTGGCTGCTCATAGTTTTGAGGTTCAACTCAGCTCACCTCGAACTTCACTGTTTAAGAACTGAAGAACTGTGTTCATGTGGAACGTTTTTCCCAATGAATTTAATCTCCAGCGATTCAAATCCAACATGAATCGCTACTTTCGCACAGGAACCGCTCTGAAAACGCCTTAAGGATTTTCCTGTAGTGCTTGTGTTTTGTCCTTGAAAATTCCGATAGATTCCCCTTTTGGTATCCCCGATTTGGGATATGGATTATACAATAAGTGAAAAAATATTAAATTCAAAAAATTCCACGCACTGTACTGTACTTTCCAAGAACATAAACTGAACATTAAAATGGTCGATACATGGACCGTTTTAGACATCAAGTTTGAACCATATAAAAATGTAAATTTGATGTAAACTTTATCTGCGATGTGACCTAATTGGACGTTTTCGAAAAACACTTTTTTGTGAGATTTTCAGCAAACGCTTCAGCTATTGTATAGCGAAACACGTGTAGTATTTTTGTAAAGTTGTTCAGTGATAAACTCATAATGAAGCACAATGAAGTGTTTCTTGAATAAGTTATGGATTTTCATCAAATATCGGCCGATTCCATCACATACCTATTTGGATGTTTTTAAAAAGTCATAATCACAGAAGTTCTACCGTACATACTTATTAATAATATTTAACTATTAGAAATACATTTTAATGTAGATCACCCGTGAGTCAACTAACTAAGCAAAATCTACAAATTCAAAACAAACACTTTTCCCAAACACCAGAAAGGCAGTATTCTTCTCGACACGCGTTTAACCAACCAAGTTGGCATCTTTTGTTTTCTTCATTTCTCGAAAATTGTGGAGACATCTTCCGATATAGCACTAGCGTGACTGATAGATAGGTCAATGACGCGAAAGTTATGGAATCTTTGATCTATTCGTGCGAACGGCATTAAGGTCAGATGAAGAACTACGTTGCCACGTGTGTGAAGCAACTTTGAGCACGTCTGTTATCTGGATGATTGACCGGTTCTTGAGCAAAGTTTCGATGCAACATCCAAGGCCAAGCTAGGAATCATAAGTTGAAAGATAAGACTTCATTCATAATTAGATAATAATATTTTGATGAAGAGGCTATACCATTATGGTGTAAAAGATAATGTACTTACATGGATTACAAGCTTTATACAAAATCGCAAACAGTATGTATGTTTGAGAAATGAACAATGCAATGAGTTGGGGGCTACATTAGCTTATATCAACGTAGGTTTCCACATGGTTCTATTTTGGGTCCTGTGTTATTTCTACCATACATTAATAATATTGAAAAACTATGTGAAAAGGTTCGTGTTACAATGTAAGCAGATGATATCTCTGTAGATATGTCAGATCATTCTGATGAAATGCTCGGAACACGTAATGAGCTGATCCGATCATTGGCTCCATGGTCATATAACAACTGATTATTCTTCAATGTGGATAAGACACAATATCTTAGATTTCACAAGCGTCAAAAAATGTGTACAAAACCCGATCTTACTGTAAATGATAAACCAATTTCCAAATCTGCCGCCCATGTCAAGTTTTTAGGAATGTGCATTGATGAACATCTCGATTGGAAAGTACATTGTTCGAGTCTGATATCAGCGGATCATTCGCAGTGCTATCTCCTGAAACATTTGAGAACGGTACTTACACATTCTCAATTGCTGATGGTATATTACGGGCAAGTGGAAAGTCGTATGCGCTATGGTATTTGTTTCTGGGGATGGTCAACCACGTCTCAGGAAGTTTTCATTGCACTAAAAAAAATCACCAGGTGCATCATAAATGTGCCTAGTACCGAGAGCTGTAAAAGTTTTCTCAGCAAATATGAAATCTTAACACTTCCATCTTTATATATTTTTGAATTGTGTCTCTATATTTTCAAGAATAGAGATAATTTTGTGAAGAATTCCGATATACATCAAGTAAATACTCAATAAATTGATTAGCCGTTACTACGTGGTAGGAGATCATAATGAAAAGAGAAATGAAAATTTCTATGTTTCTTACCACTTTCATTTGTAACTAACCTTACTGCAGTTTCGTCCTATACGGACATTCTCAAACTTATACGATAAATTAAATGTTTAAACTAAACAATAAACTGAATTTTTATTGTATAAGTTTGAGAACTAAATGTTTAAACTAAACAATAAACTAAATGTTTATTGTATAAGTTTGAGAATGTCCGTATAGGACGAAACTGCAATAAACATTTAGTTTATTGTTTAGTTTAAACATTTAGTTTATTGTATAAGACTTTGTATTCCAAAACTCTGAATGTGATATTGTTAAATCTACCTTGTATGTTCTTTTTTCTAGACTTGACTATTCCAATTCAATGTTTTGTCTCTTGGGAAATATCATTATTATTATAAGTTTGAGCTTCCAGGAAGTGTTATTGGTGAGGGATCATTGCCAATACACTCGATTTAACAAGAAATTTCACTTACTGTTTCTTTGGAATGCAACTTCATGGAGTGTCACTAAATCTAATTCTCGCTACTTTAAAATGTCGAAATCTTTGCTATCTGAGATTCTTTTGTGTTTAAATTATGTCCGTGTTTTCATGAAAGGGATGCATTTCGCAAAAGTGTTCTATGAAATTAATGTAGGATATAGTGGGATGATCACGGAATAATTCATTTTGGTCAATATGGATATGGAGAAATGAAAGTCTGATTGGACAATGAGTATTTCATTGGATTAATTAGATATCAATAAATATATATTCGATATTGGAGGGTACAACAGTTCTTGTAAACACAAAAATAAAACTTTTAATCTAATCTAGTTCAATATTTCATTTCAAGGCACTTGATTTGGTAATATTTAAAATATATTATATACAATATGATTTACACACATAAAGTGAAGGTATTTCAACGTTTTCAAGTTTTTGGTGAATTCCAAAAAGCAGCAGCTTTCTGGAAACTCTCACTTTTTGGTTTGTCTTTTCTATTTACAAGTGGAGATTTGGGAGAAGTGATGTTGATTGAACCAAATTTCGGTGCCAACTTTGGAGAGAGTTGAGAACTATCCATGCCAGCCTTAAGCATATATTCATCATTACACTGTCCTTTGGCTATTAGTGCGTGGGTTTTCCTCAATACAGACGGAGAAGGACTCCTGTACCTAATGGTAGTTGAAGCGGAGGACAACACATCATCAGACAATTTTTCATTACTTGAAAATTTCTCTACAATTTTTTCAACTCTAGAAACAGGTTCGCATTCTTTTGTAGTAACTGATTCTACACTACTTCCTTTATCGTGATTACCATCATTACAACTGTCACGAAGTATTGTATTCGACATGGTTTTGTTTTGTTGGTCGATGGTTTTTCTCATAGAGTATGTCGATTTGTCGGGGGTATCAAATTTCTTTATTGTCCCAGCTACAGTTCTGGAAATATAAATTGGCAACCTCTTCAGGCCATCTGACGCACTTGGCGGTTTACCTGTAACATAAAATATAATATTTTACACTTTTGGAGGGTTAACAGAACACAAAACGGAACTTTTTCAGGGTGAAAAAAAAACATTTGATACCGTATTGTAACAGTACATATTCGATGATAAACTTAAGAGCTATGGAGTGTAAATCAATACTATATTATGTGGAAATTTGAAAACAGAAGACCATGAAATAACTGTCACAATTTGAATATATAATGAAACTTCGAACGTGTTTATCGTAGGAAAATATGTGTATATTTCATTCGATCTATCAATATCAGGGCCATAAAAGCTGAGTATTCTCACGTTCTCATTGATTTCAAAATTTTGTTCCCACACAGGCTGTCTGTGTTAGAAAGATTTCATGCTTTCCACATCAGTGGTTGAGTAATAAAATTGGAGCTTTCTTTCATCTTTGATAAACGGTTTTTGGCGTCTCCGTGTGGGGCATTTTTAAACTTATTTCTTATCACAAGTGTTTTTGTGCTGTCAATCACGCCGGTTGGAGACCGGGGTGGACCGGATGTCCACGTGGGAGATCATAATAGCGCCATCTGGAAGCTGGGACCAAAATTAAGTAGAAGAAGACGCGTTTCACTTCCGTGAAGCTACCGTGTAGCGAAAAGCGTCTTAACTGAAATCATTTGTGAACATTGTATAATTATTATCAGGAATAGTTTCATTTTGTTTCAAATTTGAGAGGGGACCTTTCATGTTGGCACTGAATCTCAATCCATTGAAAAATCATGAGAACAGGCACTGTTTCATAAGTTCATAATTTCAAATCTTGCTACTTTGGATAAGTTCAAATCTTGCTGCAAAATGGTTTGATATTGTAGCGCTTGTTAACACACTTCGGAGTAGTTTTCATATAGCAAAAATCATTAAAAACAACCATTTCCATCAACTTCAAATCTTATTATCTTCAGTACATGTTTCAAATATATGTCGAACAACATAAATTTATGTTCATTATTGACTATAATATTTATGAGTACATATATATCGACAACTCTGTATGAAGTAGCCTCATATTACAGACGTTCCTCATTTTAACAAAGACAATTATTTGTCTGTGAAATGTATAACATATAAGAATGTACCACTTGATTTTACGGATATAAGAGGTTCTATTTTCCAATATCATTATGTCAGACCACTACTAATAATCAATGAAAAAAAACTTGTTCTCAGAATGTTAAAGTAGAAAAAAATGTGTAGGATATGTAGTCAAACATACAAAGTAAACAAGTCACCAATCACACATATAAAATCTATTGTTAACAATTCACCAAAAATACTCCTTCCGCACACCAGAATTGCGGCACTCTTTTTGATGCGCATTTCACAAAAAATGGCGTCATCAAAAGATGATCCCAACTGGCCTGGAAAGTAATTTCCATCTCGTCGCGTATTGTACCAGGTTGGCGATATTAGAGACAATCTGAACCTAAACCAGAATCTGTGGTAGTTTACATAATTTACTGTTGACACCGAAGTGGTTGAATTAACCTTTGCCAAGGAGAGTTTTACAGGTTGTTGTGAATGAAAATGAACTTGGATTTAGGTTTGATTTCATTGCAATTCTCTGAGAATTTTGAAAGATATTTTTGAATTCTTGAGTAACGTTCCAAATAGTTCAATTGACTTCATCAGCCTTTGCAGCTTGTAATACACTGACCTAGAATATACTTGATTTCTGGCAGATATTAGTTGGAATATTGAATCAAAAAAATAAAGTTACTCGATTTGTTTCAAATATTTCATTTTTATGACGTAACTGTGAAATATGTGATGGTTGAAAAAAGTTGTTGTGGTCTGAGAAACTCATTATTTACTTTTTTCGAAATTAAGGCTCGTAACAAAATAAGCAAAAAAACATCAAAATACTTACTTTTGATAGATGCATTACTAAAAGACTCAATCTTTTCACTCAACTTCAAATTAGAAACCGATTTCAGGTGGAAATTTTCAACAGATGTTTTATAAATTTGACCATCTTCCTCCATATGTTCTTCAGATTGTCCATACCCATTTCGATATTTATCAGTAGATTCAGTTTCAGTTCGTTGTTCGATATTGTCATTGATTCGTTTACCACTATTCCCTAACCCATTAGAGTTATTTTCGAGGTTATTTTTATTGCCCAGGAATAATGTTGCCGACGTGTTGAAGACTTTGTCTTCATTCGAGTATTCAACTTCTTCGTTGATGCGAAACTTTTTACTTAGTAGTGGAGTAGAAGTACAGCTGCCCGTTGTGAGAAGTGTTGAACAATCGCTAATTCCACTATCACTTCTTTCGGTACATGCTCTTGTTGTAATGGATTTACTGGTTCCATTCTTGATATCCGTAACAGGTCTGTGAGGGGTATAAGTTTCCTCGATCTCTTCAGGAGAAGTTTCAACCGTGGAGAAGCTTTCTATATTTTTGCAAATTTCATCCAACTCAACTTTAGTCGCACCATTAGATATGCTGTTATTTGGCGAATCTTCCTCGTTCAGACTGGACATTCTCGGAATCAATGTTCCAGAGAGAGAGGTTCGTGGGGTGTTTGGAGTTGAATTGGCGGAATTCCTTCGGCTTGCAGAAAGCGTAGCCATCCTACCCAGGGCACGTATTGCATTGCCTGTTTTCTGGGGGCAAAAGCAAAAAACACTCATGCAAAAACCACACGGAAACAAATTCAAAGAAAGGCGAAAATGCATGCCCACAATTTAGCATGAGACGTACCTGCCATTTGCGACGAATGATGAATTTTTTGAGTTTGTCCGTGCACAAAACAACTGTTTCTTGGTGGGTTTCTGGATCAAGCCAAACGTGTTTGAGACATTGTTCCGCCGATAGACGATCTCTGAAAAAATTATCGTGAGTAAATATTACATTAGATATGTTCAAGTCAAAAATGAAGAAATGTGAATGGCATTCGCTGACGAAATTTAAAACAAGAGAAACCTGAAACATACCCTTCCAATTCATGCCAAAAATTCAATTTCTACATTGCATTATTATATTTGAAATAGCATTAATTTTTTTTAAATAAAATCATTACGGTATTCATGACTGGAAAGAAATCATAAGCAACCGCTATTAAAATCATGTTTGTATTGGTCAATATCATTCAAATTGAAAGGATGATATCAGAGAGAGATCAGCTTTTGGGAAAGATTTTTGAATTCCTACAAACTGGAAGAAAAAGCCCTCGCAAAATAATATTTCTTTTAATTTCAAACCTTCCACGGAAAAATTGTAAAGATGTTATCACAATTCAAGTGTTAGAGTGCGATAGGTAAATTAGGAACACCTGGCGTTACATGAACCCAACAAGACTTCTACTATTCAGATCATCTCCTGATGATACCTATCACGTAGTAACGACTACATCCATAATTATTTAAATAATGAGAATCAGTATTCGAAGAATAATAATGAATTTCATATCAGACAGATAGTTACGAACACACTCCTTTCTAAACCTTCTGAATATTCAAAGAAAATGAAAAACTTTCAGATTCAAACCCATGTTCAATATTCAATCATTTAAGTAGTATTCAGAAGAAAACTGAAATATGAGTTACATATAATTGAGGTTCATTATGAGCTTGAGATCATATAGGATTGATTGTCTAAACAAAAACACATTGCTGCTTCGAACTGATTTTTTCTCATAGCAAATTTTCATTTTTTTGTCAATTTCAGTAATGAACATTGCAAATTGAATTCCTAAAAAAGACCCTGCGCGAGTTTAAACGGAGTACTATTGGGTCAACTATGGTATTACTGTACTTGTGATGTACTGTTTGGAATCTTCGGTGTAGTAATGAATATTACTGGAGTTCTATCCCAACACCAAGCCGTAATTTTCGACACCTCGACACGTGTTTCAATCACCAAGTGATCATCTTCAAGAGGGAAATTGAACTTCCTCTTTCTTTCGAAGACGATTACTTGGTGATTAAAATACGTGTCGAGGTTTTGACAATAACGGTTTTGTGTTGGTATAGAACTGCAGTAATATTTATGGTATTATTGATGATGTGACCTTTGCACTTCGAACATAGGTTCTAGATCAGGAAGCCGAGGAAAATGCTATTTTAAGAGAATCGTAGTAGATATACTCAGACCTTTTGCCGTAACTGATAATGGCCACGAATACCTAATGGCAATGAAGGATAATTTCTGTAAATATCAGGAGATTGTTTCTATTACACATTGAGAAGCTGGTAAAGTAGCAGAGACCTTCCAAAATCAGAAAGAATCTCACTATGTCTGTTTTGAAAAATCTGAACGACTGGTACTCATTACTGAAGAAAAAATTAAATTATTTTCAGACCTTCTATTACAGTTTCTGACCTAATAATACCACCCAGAAATGTATTCTTAGTTCATCGAGAAAATCAGATTTATCGGGACATCAACTGTAGATTACCAGAGACCAGATGGATGAGTAGTTAGACAGAAAAACCAAGGACAGAAAGTTCAAACGAGAAGGCAATTTGTCACAAGCTACAGAGGAAAGGTCCCTACTGAGTGGCCAAGAGAATGAAGGGCTCGGTTTATTGCATCTCATCAGTTTAGTGGAGCAAACAATTTATGCCTGAAATTATATCGATTTTCCTAATTTGTGAAGTCAGAACCAAGCATACGATCTTTTCGGGACGGAGAAATGTGAAAAATGTATTTGCTGATTAAGACCTGAAAAGGTATCATTCGGCGATGAATTGAAACATGTCTCTCATAAAGGTCTCGACATTTATAAGGACCGAAATGAAGTCGTAAAAAGTTGGATGAAACTCTGCAAAGAGGTCAACGTAGATTTCACAACTTTATCCATCCCATTCTTGATCGTTGACGTTTCTGTCGTCGAAATTTGTGTCGATGGTAAAGAAGGTATATGGCAACATCTCGCGTGCGATCCATTCTACGACTGATTATCTCCGTGTGAAAGAGTCCGAAGAAGAGGTTATGAGTCATCGCGGCGAGGAGTAAACATTACGAAATAGATTCACGAGCCTTCTTCACAACGTCACAACGTAAGCAAGCGATAGTAAAACAAATAAATGAAGTGATACTGAGTACACGTGTTTTGAATTGTTCTATGATAATGTTGTTAATTTTTTGAATATGTCACTTTGTCAAGGACCCCCAGAGGCGTTATGACCAATCATGATTTTGTGAGAAATGAATTCACTATTTCAGTATGCTGATTAAATTATTATCCTATCAAAATGAATGTCTAGTGAATCAACTATATTCTGTGATTACTTTCATTGCAATATACTTCAACGATAATTGATACTTACTCCTTTCTCTTCACCAAAAGTGCTCCAATGAAGTCTCTGGCATTTTGCGAAACAGTATTGAACGCTTCATCTTCAAAATCGTAATCAGCCCGAGTGATATTGGCAAATGTTTCAGAATCGTTATCGCCCATGAATGGCGACAAACCGGACAGCCTACGAAAGAAATGTTTCATCAATTGCGAGATGTCAAATATTATTTCGTCAAAAATTGTTCACAAACGATCTTTCTCAGGAAATATAGCATCAGGCATTGGATATAAAAAAGGTAAGTCTACGCTCATGTCTTGTTTAAATCGAACTTAAAAGGCGTACACTTGCGGATTATAGGACATAAAATTGATGTAATGGTTTCGAATGTAGCTTGAGAAAATGGATGAGTGAAGTAGTAATTTCTATTTTTACTTATTAATGACAACTGCATTATTTTATACTCACAATACATAACATATCACTCCCAAAGACCACATGTCCGATTCTACTCCAATAGGTTCGTAGCTGATGATTTCGGGGGGAATGAACTCAGGAGTTCCAAAAAGAACTCGAACAGGCTCCTTGGGATCAATTTTTTGAGCTAATCCAAAGTCGATAATCTTGATTTCATGTGATGTCCTAGTGTGACACATAATGTTTTCAGGTTTCAGGTCTAAATGGACGACGTTTTGAGAGTGCATATAGGCAACACCTTCACAAATTTGTCGCATGAATAAAATACAGTCTTTTTCAGTAAGCGTAAAGTCATCAGCAACCACTCTTTCGAATAGCTCACCACCGGAAATGCTGAAAATGATAATATTAACGTTATAGATTGTGAAAGGTTCTTCTTGAGTGGAGTCGTAGTAATCGACAAAATTTTTTAATTGAAATTTTACAGAATACATAAAACTGGATGAATAGATATTTTATAATTTTCTTGATGTAATAACATTATTATTGTAATTTCAGAAATGTATGGAAACCTAAAAATATGTATCACTACTACATTTAATGATCATTTATTTAGTCCCAAGAAACTACAGTATTTTTACAGGGAATTATTCACACAAGATATATTCAAATATAAATATACAACTTCGAAGGAAGCTATTTCAAAATTGTTCTTATTAATAAAAAAAACAAAACAATATGACAATGTGAACTGATATAACAAATGGTTTTTCAATGCAACTTTAAATTGCTTCTCGTAAAAAAATAGTTCAACGTCATTTGGTAATTTATTATACGCAATTATTTCTTTTGTAAAATTTAGATTTTCTGGAAAATGCATATTTAAAATTTTTTGTAGAAAGATTATTGAGCTGATTATGTTGATTTCTATACATTTCATACTGAAATGTCTTTTATTCTTCATAACAGATTGCAGAAAGGCGCACATTTCGTATTTATAAATAGTATCGAGTAAACCCTTTGATTTATATAGATTTTCAGGTTCTAAAAAATTTAGATGAAAAATGCATTCTGAGGCGTCATTTTGTAAACTTCTCAATGGCTTCAGAGTTGTGTTTGAAGTAGTTCCCTATATGCTAATTAAATACTGTAATTTCGAATGGATGAGTGAGAAGTAAATCAGCTTCAGGTGCTCCAAAGTGGTATCGGAATTGTAGATGATAAGTGATATGAATTTGTAAAAATAATGTCGAAAAATAAATTTAACAAGTGGGAAGGTAGCTGGTTGGGTTGTCATGAGTTCAAGCCCTACGACCATACGATCGATTTTCGCTGCTTAACTTCTAACCCACGCTAGGAATCGCACGTTGAAAGATGAAACCTTGTCAATCCTTAGCTTGCACAAGTTTTGACGTTTGAGGGTTGTCGTTAGCAGAGGGCGATAGTTGGTTGACGGAAAAATGAAAAACAGATCTCACATCAAAGTGCCATAATAATCGAGAAAGAAATTTTGAAAATTGAGCTACCTTCTTTATTGGACAGTTTAGAGAAATTCAGATCTTGTGAAACACGTGAAGATTTTCTCGGAGGATGATGTACTTCATCAGAGTTTGGGTATATTGAAATGTGTATAAAATCATCCACAGCATTAAATATCATGGAAGATATACTAAACGTAACAGAATATGAAATAAATGATTGGGAGAGTAGATTAATTGTTAATTTTTCGGATTCTTCAAATGTTGGGTTTTTTATTATGGATTTCAATATCAGTGATATCAAATATTACTAATAATTTTCATTATGAAATTGTTCAATTGCTATTATTATACCGGAAATTAAATTTTCTAAATTTGGAAAATATGTATTTCTATCAACCAATAGGAGTTTACAATCCTGAAATGATGTCAATATGGAATAGAATACATTGAATTTCATTAGTTCGGACTTTCATTGCCTGATATCATATGAAATGATTTGAAATCCCTGAAAGAACTGAAAGCAGTTACTTCACGGCGTTTTGATCCATAATCGTCTTCAGGTGATGACTGGACTACTTGGGTCGTTCGAGTTTTTTCACTTATCTCCTCTTTTCTCTTCACCAGTTAAGCGGGAGATGACCGCTTGGCGGGAGTTGGCAATTTTTTCGCTTGATTATGGGTTTCCATATGTTGCGTATCTATACGCTAATTTGGCTGAATGCATTGTTGGACAACATGTATGCGGCTTCTTTGAATTTCCTCCTAAACCAATATTTTTCTCTGTGTATGATCTCAACTTGGGTCCACTCGATGTTATGTTGATGGGTCCAAACATGCTCTGCTATTCCTGATTTGCTAGTTTCTCCTAGCTGTGTGTGTTTCTTGTGCTCGGCAATGCGAACTTTCAATGGCCTCTTAGTTTCATCGATAAAGCATTTTCTGCACTCAAAGGGTACCCAGTAAATGCAATTCTTGGAATCGCAGTCCGCATTTGGTGGCCAAGTTTTCGTGAGGCTGTTACTGATAGTGTTTCAGGATCTGAAGCAGATTCTGATGTTGTACTTGGACCCAATTCTTTTTATCCTTCCCGATAATCCTCTGATGTAGGGAAGTGCAAGCACTTGTTGTGACGGCTTTTCTTCCTTGCGAGGCTTCTACTGTCTTTTAGCCAAAGTCTGTTCCACCAACGCTCTGGAGTAGCCATTCCGTTGAAGATCATTTTTGATGATGTCTATGTCCTTTTCAATTGTTCGTTTTTATTAGTTATTTCAGGGATTTTAAATCAATTCATATGATGGTCATCGATGAACTATCAAGATGAATAAACCTCTGAAGAAACCAGTCACTCGCGCTGGTTAGAAAACAGTTCTGAACTACGACAGCCTTCAGACCCGAATGAAGATCCTAACACTGATATGACCTACATTTTGCAAATACAATGTTTGCCGGAGTGAACGTAACATGCATTTTGACATCAGTTTTCAACAGTGCGAGAGTAATTTATTATGTGAATCGTTTGTGAAACAATGAAACTTTAGGAAAATAAACTTACTATTCCATAATCATTATCATTTCTCTGGGATGTTCGAAAGCAGCGGCTAGTTGTAAAAGTTTTTGGTGTCTCAGGAGATTCATAATATCAATTTCGTCTTGTACTTTATCTTTATCTTTGGAAGACCTACATTTAATGAACTTGGCGGCAAGTTTTTGATTCGTTTCTTTTTCGATCACTTTATGAACGACACCAAATCGTCCTTTTCCTATTTCTTCAAAAACGTCATATCGAGATTTGAATTCAGGTCCAGGTTCAACAGATACCATTCTTGGTTCGAACGAAATAGATTCATCTGAAATGAAAACAAACGAATATTGAAGAAACAGACATATATGAGTGTCAAAGCTATTTTTTGTTTTTTGACTATGGTCTGCAGGTTTTTATGACTGGCGTTTCGTCTACTAATGCGGTCGACATTATAAAAGACGATGAAGTAACGGTCAAAGTGCAGTTTTGGCGTTAGAAACAACGGGAACAGTAACTCGAGCACCAACTCGAGCACTTCTTGCGTTACCTCATCGTCTTTGATAATATTTAGCGCAGTAGAAGACGAAACGTCAGGCATAACAACCTGCAGAATTCGGCAAAAAAACACAAATTATTTTAGCCATAGAGTGTATAATTAATATAACAAAAACTAAGCTCAGTATAAACGAGCAAGACATAATAGATGTCATAGCAAATTACCGTTGTAAGAGTGGCAAATTATTTGGAAATAACTTCATATGGAAAAGTACCTTTGATACCTAACCCACTCAAAAAAATATATTTCCGGAAATTTTACAACACTACATTCATGATAGTGAATTCACAATTTCCACACTGAACTTTAATTGAAAACTTGTTTCAACTATACACAGTAGTTTCTTCAGTTGAACTGGTGATGGAGATATTGTGTGCTGGAATACGTTTCGAGTGGTTCATACTGTGGAAATTTATTTTATCAAAGTCTGCCACATTTGAATTCAGTTGTCATGGATGTTTTGGTAGTAGATGGATTTGAAGATTTTTTGAATCATCGGAACAGTAACATGAATTATTCGAATGTAGGTGATTCAGTTGTTTTGCAGTGTTGCCAATCATAGAGGAATTCCAATCTTCGAAGCAGGGTAGCAGAAACTCGGGAAATTCAATAACATCTTAGATAGAGAATTCATTGATCATCAATAAGCACCATTCATATGATAACAACGAACAAATCGAAAGCAACAAAAATTTATTTAAGTCCTGACAGTTCTTACGTCAAAGAAACTGCCAGAGAGGATAACAAGAAATAAAACTTGTTCCATGTCCGATACATAATCCGCAGGCACTTCATAGAAGTCAAGTTTATAAACACCAACAATGAGTTAAAGAAGAACTGTATTTGACATATACCCTCTGAACATGTTAGCCACATAGGAAAAATTAAGAAGAATATGCCGAGAAGGGAAATGAGCGATTAGGAAATAGTGAATCATATTTGGACTCGCCAACTAAACACTAAGTGATCCAGATTCTGAAATCATCGTCGAGTAAGTGTTTTTAAAAAATTGAAGAAGCTTTGACGACTTAAAAATTAGGTATTAGTTGGTATTTTAGCTGATGTAACAGTAACATTTAAATTTGCGCGAGTTTTTTATGAAAACGAATAAATTTCATTTTCAGATACTGGGGTCAGGACTCTCACACTGTTATAAAAGCTCGAGACAGCTCGCGAAGTTCGGCTCGGGCCCTGAACAGCCCTATGTCAATGGATATAACCTGAATCCGTATATGCTGGTCATATCGATAGCAAATACTTACGATTCCAAGCACCAAAAATGACAGTCTTCTGTATTTGTACTACTAAGATTAATTTTATAGAGAGGCAAGTAGGTATGTTATCGAGATTCTAAAGTAGGACTCCACTAATCAGAAGAACTATTTTAACAGAGTGGTCTGATTAGACGCTATGAAGTTTATTACTATTATTTTTTAATAATATATACCATTCAGGTACTCGATTGAGTACCTGAATTTACAGTTCACAATGCGCATGTGCCAATTTAAAAACCGGAGAGTAAATTAAATCGATTTGGTCATTTAACAGGTTGCACCCACAATATTTATGCTTGTGAATTTCCAAGGATTCTAAATAATTGAGTTTGCAACCCTTCCTCGCATAGTGCAGAATTTCCGTATCGTTTAGATTCGGAAACTTATGGTTGCATGCCAAGGAATGGTTTGAAAACGTCGTATAATTTTTTCCCAGTCTAAAGGAACTTTCATGTTCAGCATACCGTTTTTGGAAATTTCGTCCGCATTGTCCTACATAAACACTATTACATTCCGGACAATTAAGCTTATAAACTCCAGATTTTTCCAACTTGTCGACCTTATATTTGGCTTCGAAAAGAAAATGAGATAACCTGGCATGTGGTCTGAATGCTACTTCCACATTGTTTTTTCTGAAGGAACCTGCAATAATTTCTGTTCTTTTTCCAAAATATGTTAGCGTTACCCATTTCTTGATTTATGGTTGTTTGACCTGAGGATATATTAATCTGCAAGTGAATTTCCGGCTTTGTTTCCTGACTAACTTTTGGATAATATCTGCGTTGAAACCGTTATTATGACCTTTTTCAAAATAGTTCCGGTGTATTTTACAGAAATCCCTATTTCGTGGGCAATTTCTCGTGAAGAATAATCTTGATTAGCATAATTTTTGTAACTGGCTAATCCTACATGTTTTCACTGTGTAAATTTTTATGTGGTAAAATTTGCTCACCCATAACATTTATTTGATTTCTCACACTTTCAGTAACCACACATTTTCTTGTTTTCTTTCTGTCAAATGCACCATAGTCCCTCAAATTTCTTTCTAATCGTCTAAACATTTGGGTGTTCGGGCTAAAACGATTCGGGTATAGCTCAACATACAGTTTCCTTGCCAATAAAGGATTTCTATTTGATTTTGCATAACTAAATAGCATATCAGTCATTTCATCATATGAATACATCTTTGATATGTTGATAAACGTCTGACAGTTCTTACCAGATATCAATAACGCATTAATTTTTCCTGCTATGGAAACCAAGCAATGCCTACGCGCTTGAGATGGTAAATGATTTGATCATATCAAATTATACAACAATCGAATTTTGACCAAAAACTGATATTTTCGTAACTTCCAAGATTGAGAATTATAAAAATATTACGAATTCTAACTGATTACGGAGAAACAAGCATTGAAAGAAGCATTACGGCAATACAAAAATTTCCAAAACGAAAAAGTACGAATTTTCATTATGTTAGGGGTACATCAAGAACTAGTGCCCCATTTTGGGCGGTCCGCCAAGTTGGATGTAGACTGGAGTTACTTAGTTGCATTGTAAAAAATAAAGTTGTTCTTCAAGTGACCTCGAAAATGAGGTTCACGGTTAAATCCACTTGGATTGTTAGATTTCTCGTTGAAAGTTACCTATGGTGCGACTTTTTGGTTTTCGTTCAATCAGAAAAACCGCGAAATTTCTAAGGGTTCCATACTTTTTCATAATCCGTATTTAATGAATGAGCGAATAAATGAATAAATGGAGCAACAAAATCCAAATCACCTAATAACATATTTGATATAGTCTGTCTGAGAAATTAAAGAAACTACAGTAGTATATCTATATATATTTGAAAAATCTCATTCATTGCAAACAAAATAACAAATCAACTACGAGAAATGTGAAAATAAGTCCAGAAGTAACCAAGACATTCTCCAACAAGTGAGTATTTAGGGGATTGAAAAAACATTGTATTTTTGAATGCGGTATAGAAGATATTTCAATTATCTTCGCATCATACAGAATATAACATTGGAAAATTTATTTTAATATACCCAGTCAGACGCCTTTTAATGCTATCTTTAACGCAATATGAGAAAAAGTGTCAGTTGCCTCTTTTGATGTTGTTTGTTGCAAGTCACTATTTTAATGGATCGTTAGCGGGGCATAGCGGGTAGATTTTGTGGATGAATTGCAGTGTTACTTGCTTGCGACAACTATGTTACTTCGATGTACCGACATGTTTGTATTCCTGGCATTCTATCACTTTCAGACAATACCGAATATACTATAATGATTTAAACTCACCGTGTTCCTCCAAAATGACCACGTCGGATTCCAGACTCGGCCTGCTATATCCGTGGACGTTGAAAGCTCGAACTCTGAACACATACCTCCCACCGGGTTGCAGCCCTCTAACAACGTAACTCAAAGAGTGGCACTCATCCGCCAGTACGGTCCAAATGTCGCTTCCGACCATCGAGTACTCGAGGGCGTAGCCGTTGACTATTTTACCACCATCGTAAGGGGAGCTGCTCCAAGCTACAGTAACGTTGTCTTGACTGGCCGATATACAAGGTTTACCACTCGGAGGATCCGGTGGTCCTGAAAAAATTGAAACTGTTGGATATACGATGGTTGTAGTCAACGTTAGTAGAGTCCAAGAAGATAATGTACTGATTGAAATGAAAAACTAATATTTTCTTCTTGTGTAAAGATTGTAACAAGAAAAAAGGAGTTTTTTTGAGGGAAGCATTACCGTAAGATGGTAGTGCAAAACCTTTGGAAAACAAAGTAACATTTTGTTTCTAAATTCTCTCAAAATATATATTGTTAAGGTATTGTTTGGCGGAAAAAATATCATGTGATACATGTGTGAGGTAGAGGGTGGACGAAAAAAAAAGTGTTTGCTCTTCACCAACAGAGTTATTGGTGAAAATCTTTGAGGAGAGGTTAAGGATACCATTTAGATGTTTTGTGTGGAGTTTTGAAACAGATTAGTTTTCAACATTTCGGGAGGGTAAACACCCTTATACGCCACTGATTCTGATATGAATTGATAGTCAAAAAGAAATCTGACGTCTACTTTTCTTCTTACACACCTGGTATTTTCATCAGCCTCCAGTAATAAAAATTGAAACAAAAAATGTTGAACGATTATAGTAAAAATTCAACTGTAATTGAATTATTTTCACCGCCTTGAATTATTTATAATATTGAATTATTCAATATGCAGATATTTTCTTAGTTTCAACAGATATTTATTCTATTCTTTGGATATTATTTCACTCAAACGAAATAGTAGTTTCTCGGGAACTGTTGAATATTAGGTTGCTTCAAAAGTTTTGTCCGATTTAATAAGTCCACTTCGAACTGTAATATCCCAGTGAATACTCATTCACCATTGTCAACGTAACACCAGTCGATTATTAACTTTAGCATATGTGCTCGGGGTTCGATACAGTCGATAAAGGCCGTTTTTGCCTGGTCCTGATTGGCGAGAGGTCTAAGGAGTATGGTGGGTGAGGCTGAACTTTGACACTCAATTCGTTAATTTTCAGAACGTAATTTGTGATGTGTGCGGGTGTTATCGTGGAGCAAGATCGGATCTGTTTTGTTGACTAGTGCCGGCTGCTGCTGATGCAATTTTCAGTACATTCGACCACAATAGGACTCTGTTTAGCCCGGTTGCAGAGAGTTTAAGTAAATCAGCCGCTGACCACCATACAGTAACGGTGTTCTTTACTGGTGGATTTTCGCCTTTGGGAAATGCCTGGCTGGCTCATTGCTGTGTCCAACCACTGACCTGAACGTCTCCTGTTGTCGTAGATGATTCGCTTTTCATCACACGTGACGATTCGATCCAAAAAAAATCGTTTTGGTTGGACCTGTCGATTGTTTGAATCATGGGGCCCCACTTTTCGAACTTTTTGATCTTTTCAATACGTTTTGAACCATCAAAAACCACATGGAAGCTGACGCAGTTCTTCCGCCTTCCCACGCAATGTTTGTGGTAGGTCAGTCTCCACCAGGGTCTTCAAATCTTTGACCTGGATTATTGTAGGTCAACCACTTCGGGGCTCATTTTCGACGCCGAAATCTCTGAAACGAAGTTTCGCAACACAACGTCGAATAGTTGGCACTGTGTTTAGAATTAAACATCAGCTGGGATACAGCTGCGAATCTTTGAGTTTTTCTCTTAGCACGTGGTTCATTGGCGATCATTTTGGTATTATTCCATTCTACTCAATGATCACCGTCGGATTTTGAAACATGTTCTGAAAATATTGATCTATTTCTGATGTAATTTTGGTGTTTCATTTTCGGATCATGATCACTGTCTCAACTTTAACCAAATGAATGTTTTAACAAATTATAGACAAGAATTATACTTATCCATTATAATTCTCGTGACAATAAACAATAACATATTTTTCAGGTTTTCTGCAGCAAACTTATGACGTTTGTCACTCAATATTAATTCATATACAGAAAATGATCTTTCGACGTCAACTAATGTTACTGGACAGAACTTGGAATTTGGCGACATTTCTGCAGAGACCTCTTCAGACAGGGTATGTCTGGTGCCGTTGATAAATGCATCAATTTTCTTTATTCATTCAAGACCGGGGTTTCTATATGAAACTGCATTCAATGTGCCACACACCTTTTGCGATAGTGCACTCGGAAGGGTGTTACTCTGTTCAATATTTTTTTCTAATATTTCCAAAGACTTGCACAGTTTCTGAATTGCATTGGTTATATTGTTGAGATGTGTTGGAATAAGAGCAATATTTTATTTGATTGAAGGATCCTCAAATGCCAGTTTGCTTGAATTGATTGCACTGGGGTCTATTCTGTTAAATTTTTCATCTTCTTGCAACCAAGTTTCCACCATGTTGATATTATTATCTGGGGGTAGTGCTACGTTTGGTAGTTACTTTTTATATGCTTGTACTCGCGATGGTGCCTTTAAAAACACCTTTTTTGTAGAAGAAATCAATTAATTGACTATCTCGAACTCATTTCTGATCTCTTCCACAACTCTATGTAATATGTGGGCTAGACAGGAGATGTGAAGCAATTTTAAGTAGAATACTTTCAGAGCTTGACCAAATGACCGGCTTTCACTATATGAGGCGCACCCTTAGAAACAAAAACATAATATATTTTCTCGTCCATAGAAGAATCGTGAAATAGTGATCAAATGAAATTATTAATGAACCGGTTTGTTTCTCAAGGACCTTGTAAGCAACCAAATGGGGAGTAGGGGGCTACTTATATAATTTTCCAAAAATTAGATTAGCTATGTATGGTCCACATGAATCTGCCGTCTCACAGCTGATATCCATATCAGATCGTTCGAGAGATAAGCGCATATTTCACTAGGCACTTCTTCTTAGATAATTGACAGATAGTTTTTTCGAATTGTGGATCCTTCAGGAATTACTTACTTCTTAAGGAAGTTTCGGCATACTTCGCATATTAGGCAGTAGTTGTTATCGACTTCTTGTAGGTTTCTGTCTTGCAGCTAAATGGGAAGCAGTATACACATGTTGATCGATTTGATATTATTTTGATGAAGGTATTCGCTTTTCACAAACCTTGCAGAATATCGCAGTGCCATCAGTCGTAAATTGGCCTGGGTAATTTTTTATCTAAGATTCCATTAAAGTCTGGGTTTTTTTTTCAGTGGCGGCATTATTTCAACAAAAACATGTATAATTACTGAAATAATCACTGTCAATGGAAAAATACCAAAATAAGCAATAATGCTATAAAAATTGTATTATGTGCATTTGCATATGCAAACATGCAAATACATATGATCCGATGTCTGAATATAACGTTTTCAAAAAAAAACTTTGAAGTAAGATATCCACTTGACAGTTTACAAAACAGCGATAAGGGTTCTGCTATACAATTGCATTTTCAGACGTCGCAATACTGATTAAACAAATTCTGTGTCATGCGTTTATAGTAATTTGCATCCTAATGAATATTACTACCTGACTAATTTTTACACGATAAATTCATTACATAAAATAATAATAATAACTCATGTGAATGATATCTGATTCTTATTCCACAACAAATGTTTGAAATACAAACTGAGTAGAGAAAAGTATCCTCTGTATAATTCAGTGTTCATATAGTAGTATTTGTTTCGAAAGAATTATTTTCTTTCGTGGAATTCAATGTTTATATGAAAGTAGCTGTTTCAGGAGGACTTTCTTTCAGTTTGTGTCTGAAAGTTACTTCTTTGCATGATCTATACATTCATGTATAGAGTTTCAAATTGATTATTTCCTTCCTTTCTTTGGAAGATTCTCTCATCCTCTTTTTTGTATCAGATGGAGTAGTAGAAAGCCAAAAACTTTCTTTCCCAAAAAATTAATCACTCCTAAAAATATAACCCCTTCAATTCAAATAAATCCTAGTTCATTATTGCAAACTAAATTCAACAAAGAAGAACAATTCAAATATATTTGATCATTGAGCAATGACCGAATTCTTAAATCTATCGACTTCTAAGTATTTCAAATTGTTGAGTTCTGAACCTTTCTCTTTCAAATGATCATGATTGAACTCTGTCAAAAAACGGTTTGCAAATATTGAATATTCAAAAGACTACTTCTTCGGTTTTCATTCTTTTGGAGAAAGGTCTATCCGGTTTCAAAGAGTGATACTAAACATTTTGTGACTCTACTTTGGTAATCCTACTAATAATATCGCTCGTTTTATAAAAAACAAAGAATTGGACGTAGCTTACAGAACAAATGATAATTTGAATAAATTCATTGAAAACAATAAAGATGAAACTCCAGTGTCGGACAGATCGGAAGTATATAAGTTGACTTGTGTTCTTATCCTAAATTTTATAATGGCTGAACTCAAAGGACTTTCTCCAACAGTATAAAAGACAATAGAAGTAGTTTTTTGAATGAAAAGATCGACTCAACATTTGCAAACAATCTTTTGACAGATGAGTTCAATCACGATTATGACGTATTGCATTTGAAAGAGGAAGGGTCAAAACCCAACTGTTTGAAATGCTTAGAAATCAATAGATTTGAGAATTTCGGATTATTGCTAAATGCTCAAATAGATTTGACTTTTCCTCCTTTATTGAATTTAGTTTACAACGAGGAAATCGGTAATTAGGATAGATCTTAAAATTAGGTGAAATGAGGTATCAGGTATTCATTATTCTCCTGTTTGATGAATAGTTACTAGAAAGGTCAATATTTTATGTATATAATTTTTTATCTAGGAATTTGTCAGGTAATAATATTTATTAGAATTCAATTTACTATAAAAGCTTAAGACATAATTTGTTTGGTTAGTATTGTGATGCCTGAAGATGTTATTTACTGTATGGCGAGACATGTTTCGCTGTTTTGTAAACTGTCGAGTTGAAATCTCACATTGAGATGTTTTTTTGAAAAAGTTTTGAGTAGTTATCTAACGAGGTAGCTCGGGTGGTTTATAAACATACTTGTATTATGAGATATTGAAACTAAACTACTTATTTCAAGTTATTCATCGATTTCTCACAAAACAGTTCCATTTTGATTTATACTCATAGAAATAGTGGTATTTTTGTTTTTTGAATAACAACCAACACACATCAAGAATGGAGAACGACAAAGGAAACATTTTTCATACAATTCATTAACAAACCATTTTCGAACGTCTCATGTTACTTGATCACGCCGTATAATAAAACTTGGCATACCTTCAACAGACACTGAAGCGTAATTGCAGTCGGCGCCATAAACATTCTTGACGCAAACGTCGTATTTCCCACTGTCGTCCGCGGTAATATTTTGCAGTAGAAGACAAGAAACGCCGTTTCCAGATGTTATGCTCGTTCGTTCGTCATTCTTCAACTCACGACCCTGGAACAAACAAACGGCGTATTTGAAAACTCAGTAAAAATTGATATAAAAACATTTCGTATATGAAGTTGTTCGTATGATAGGCATCACAAAACACAATACAAAAGCGCCGCCGAAACAGTCTAAAAAATTAACCAGGCATTTGGTAATGATACTGTTATTGAACGCACTGTTCGATGTTGGTTTGCGAAATTTCGTTCCGTAGATTTTAGCCTCGAAGATGAGCCCCGAAGTGGTCGACCTACAGTAATCCAAAACGATGATTTGAGGTCCCTGGTGAAGACTGAGTCATCATACACGGTCTTTGGGGTGACGGAAAGAATGTGAGTCAGCTCCGATACGGTTTTTGATGGTTTAAAACGCATTGGAAAGTTCATGAGATCAAAAAAGTGGATGCCCCTCGATTTGAACGATCGACAAAAATTGTCAGGTCTGTTCTTCTTTGCTTTTGCGCAACTAAAACCATCCTTTTTTGGATCGGATCGTCACGTGTGATGAAAAATGGATCCTCTACGACAACAGGAGATGTTCAGGACAGTGGTGGGACATCGATGAGCCTTCCAGGAACTTCCCACCAAAAACATACCATGGTTACTGTATGGTGGTCAGCGGCCTGTGTAATCGACTATAACTTTCTGCAACCGGCTAAATCATCACAGCAGAGTCCAAAGGAAATCGAGGAAATGTACCAAAAATTTCGTCAATCACCGTCCTTAAATTGAACGAATTGAGCTTCGAAGTTCTGCCCCATCCATCATACTTCCCAGATCTCTCCCTGACCTACCACCATGTTTTCAAGCAATTCGATAACTTTCTCATCGGTAGAACCTTCGCCAATCAGGACCAGGCAAAAACGGCATTCGTCAACTTCATCGAATACCGATCACACAATTTTTATGCTGACAGAATTAATCGACTAGTGTTACGCTTATTTCGGTTGAATTGAATGAGTATTCACTGAAATATCACAGTCTACTTCAGTAGACTCAATAAAACGTTCAAAACTTTTGAAACAACCCAATAGATATATACCTTGATCACACGTCACGAATACGCAGCGCGCGCAGTTAGAAAAAAAAATGAATAAGAAAGTATCCAAGTATCAACGAAAGATATAAGCCAAAATGATAATTTTTCGATGATAGTAATAAATACTGGTAACCGTTAGAGCCAGCAGCCACCTTGCATTGTTACTTCTTCAGTTTCAATGATTACTTTTTCATTGGCGCGAAATTTATTCCTAGCGAGCATTCTCTTAAGGTCTGAGAACAGAAAAAAATCGCTGGGCATAAGATCTGGAGAATACGGTGAACGCAGAAGCAATTTGAAGCCCAATTCATGCAATTTTGCAATAGTTTTCATTGTCTTGATGGAATAACAAATAGGGCCATTTTTCAGCGATTTCGCTTTTCATCCGTTCCAATGACGGTATATAATAGCCGCTGTGGATGGTTTTCTCTTTTTAAAATAGTCCATGAATATTATACCATACGCATCCCAAAATAATGAAACTATAATTTTGCCAGCCTACTGCTGCGTCTTTGCCCGCTTTGGAGTCGGTTCAACACGAGCAGTCCACCCAGATGACAAATGTTTTGAATCTGGTGTGTAGTAATAAACATTACTACACCAAACCGTTATTTTAACTCCTCGACACGTGTTTCGATCACTAAGGTGTTAAAATAGCGGTTTGGTTTTGGGAAAAAACTCCAGTAATGTGTTTTATCAACACACGAAAAACTTTTTCATCCATTTGTTAGCTTACGAAATTTTCAGCTAATCTAGAATTATTGTAATGATGTATAGAAGGAATGTATAGGTACTTGAGTGAAAATGCAACTAGACTATTCTAAGAAATCAATCTAGATTTCCATTTCATTTTGTGTTTCTGGCATTACCTACTCAAATGAAAAATAAGTGAGGTGAACCATTTATCAAAAATCCATGTACTAGCAGTGTTTTCAAAAAAACCTATAGCTGAAAAAATTCGAAGAAACCCTATTATTACGTATTGTGTAAAACCCATTATGTATTGTGTAAAGTGGTGCTTGTTTCCAGATGCTTTTTTTGTATCATACATTCTTAGTGAGTCATTGCGAATCTATAAAATCAACAGAGTAGGCTTTTCAAAATACAAAGAATCTCATCCGCTTATCATTTGACAAAATGTTTAAAACAATGATAGTGAAGTTACAGAGTTAACATAGAAGTTCATTCATGTGTTCGTGGAACATGTTTTCAGAATAAACCTATTTTCAAAAATTAGATCACTTATAAATCTACACATTTGTAATTCTTTTCTCTTCATTGCCTATTTTTTATCGATAAAAATTAGTTTTTTTCTTTTCAGACAAGTTACTAAATGGAAACATACACTCTTCATATCGATGATGATGGTTTCGAAACCATTTTTTATTATTTCTCCATAGAATGTATTAATGACAAATATTGAAAATATTATTTCATTATGTTGTGACTAGAATCACAGTTCCAATTTCATAGCCCTTTTTTCAGCTGTGTAATGTATATTTACAGAATTCTTACGTCACCGCTTAAAGCAATACATATGCCCTAAGTATGATCTTTATATAACAAACTATAACTTGTCATTTGTTGCAATCTTTTATGAACTCATAATAGGAAACCACTACTGACCTACTAATATTTTGCCGTTCCGGAGAATCCAAATAAACAACGACATTCATGACCTCACCCACTGATTAAAACACGTTGATAAAATTAATATAACACTTCTGAAGCAGTTCGAACGGTGCATGTCGCCCAACAAAGTATTATTATCATTTTAATTAGTATGCCGTGACCTTGGCCACAGATGCGGAAAATAAAGAAGTGGTGCAACATTCACAAATGTAAAACGAGACCATTTTTATATGGATAATCCTAATAAGGAACTGATGTTGATTAGACGTTCGAGATAGAAACCATTAGTCTCAAACATTAATTGTATAATTACAGATCGGCATAAATGAGCATGGTGTAGAAATTATAAGTATATAAATTAGGACAGAAATTCTCACTTGAGTAAAAAGTAGCATGGAATTATTATTGCACAAAGTTTTCAATGATAAATACGGTTAGTACAATGATGATTCAATAGTCTTTCAGAACAGAATGGAATAAACTGCTCAACAATTGTTAAGGAAGTGCCGTTTATTGTTTTTTTCCCTTTAATCTGCCTAATTAAAACATGAAAGGATAATGAATTCAATCATTACTTTTACAGGGTGTTCCTTAATGACATTAGAATATTCAAGGTTGTGAATATATATCTATAAAAAATAATGTTGAGGGGAATTTGTATGTCGAGTTTTTACCGAATTTGATTGTTTTTGTTGGTTTTGGTGATTTTTTTGTGTTGTTAAGTAACTTCTATTTTATTTTCTGTTCAATATATTTTCATTTAGTCTTCAAATTATACCCGAGGTAGTCATTTGGATGATAAAAGTCTCATATTTAGTAACCATCGAGCTGCCCGGGTTCCACACGGATGCAATGCTAATGCTGAAGATAAATTCACCCAAAAGAAATTTAAGGGCATTGAGAAACAGTGATAAAAATATAATTTTGTTTTATGGATACGCCTTTTCCCCCGGTACGGATAAACAGTGACGAAGAGGTAATATTCATATCTAAACGCACCCCTTCTACTCCCTTTGGGACCGCACCAGTTGGAACATTTGAAAATTATTTTTCACTGCACATCTAAGACCTAAGAAGTACCTATATACTAAATTTTAGCTTTCTAGGACTCACCAGTACGGAGAAACAGAGATGAATGAGTGAGTGTTAAGTGAGTTACTTTCACATTTATAAGTATTGATATTACTTCAAGAAATATAGTTTATCGCTTGGTATGAACTTACATGTAAATTGAATTATGAAATGAAAGAAATGGAAATAATCTAACAATTCCGAAACCACTTGGGACATTTTAGTAATATTTGGGAAGCATTGATCGTTGATAAAAGATTATATTTTTCATTTTCTTTCATAATCTTTATTTTTTTGTGGGGAACATTTCTCAATGACGATTTAAACTTGCATATTTGGTGATCAATGAAAAAATAATATCTAATTCAACGTTAACTAGGAATTCAGAGGCACATAAAGCATAAAAAATCCATTTTTAGGATAGAAATAAAAAAAACAAAATAAATATATGTTCAAATATGTTTAAAATATATTTAAAATATGTTTTTTTCGTTAACCAGTTATCGCATCTCTATGAACGACAAGCCTCAGAAGTAGAAACTTGTGCGAGATAGGGACTAATGGTCGATTGATTGAGTGAACAAAGCACCCACGTCGAACCGGCCGGCTACTGACCAATATTTTTTATTTAAATTGAATGTTCAGTTCTTTTGGTTCAATAATTTTTGCATTTTCCTTCTTGTACTTTCAGTATATATCTTTTAAGCGTTTTGGATAATCATATGTTTATTATTCATATTAATTTATGAATTAACATATACATGAATAGTTTTTCTACCAGCATGAGTACTGTTTGAGTATTCATGCCATGAAAGAAACAAAAACACTTTTTGTAATTTTTGAGAAAGAAAGCTACTTTTTCCATCTTTGTGGGAATCTTCCAAAGAAAAAATATTTCAAACTAAACTTTTCACATAGATGTGTAGATCATGCGAAGAAGTAACTTTCAGACAAGAACTGGAATAAAAAGCTCTTTCGAAACCACTACTTTTATAAAAACATTGAATTACACGATAGAGAAAATACTTTCGAAACAATTACCTTTATATGGAATTGATTCAGATATCATTCACAAGATTGCTACATATTTAAAGTATATGAAAAATATTTCACTTCCACAATCTATCTATATTCTCATTTTATTCAATGTGTTTATTTATTCATTTATTTATTACACAAATAGGGATACAAACAGAATAAATCCAAAAAATATCCTCATTTTACATATGAAAGACAGTGAGTAAACAAAATATAAATGCTAAGTACAT